AAAATGCTGGGTTAAATACAACCCAGTGCTGGGTAAAATCGGGACAAACCCAGCAATTGGGCTGTTTTGACCCAGCGGTTGGGTTAAATGTTTAACCCAACCTTCTGGGTAGTAACCCAACCGCTGGGTCAAAACAACCCAATTGCTGGGTTTGTCCCATTTTACCCAGCACTGGGTTGTATTTAACCCAGCATTTTTTAGTGTATTAGGCTACATAACACTTGTAAAAAAAAAAATAATAATAATAATAAATATATTCAACAAAAAATAAGACTCAAAGTACCAAATAACAAATGGACATTTAAAATTGAGGCCATTTTCTCCCACATTTATTCACTGAGCAGCAAATGTTCAAAAAATAAAGCAACAATGCTGTATTTCTAGTGTTTCATAATAGTAGTGCTAAAGCTGTAGTGTCTTCTATTATTATTTGTTTAAACAGTCATACAAAGTGCATTATAGATACGATTAAGTCATTTACACGCTCACAGAAAAAGGCATATCAATTTGAAAATTACAGTGCTAGACATAAGTAAATAAAATGTATTATTTCAGCAAAAGCATGTCGGTAAACACATCACAGGCTCAAGGATATGTACAAAACACAACATTCACATACATTAGCTGCACTTTATATAGTGAATATTCTCAGAAATAAGCACATCAGTCAGAGAAACACAATTGTGATGCACATATAATGTATACAGTACATAACATTTCTGATATGGTGAGTTCTTGGTCATTCATGGGTGTAGAACTTTTTAGAGGCAAATAACATATATGCATATATGACACATTTCTCATCAATGTTAATAGCATTATACCAACTCCAACTCCATCTCTTCACTCATCAAAGGAGACTCAACTGACTCTTTAGGTATGTTTTGACTGGAATCTATAAGAAAGCACAGAATAATCACCGAAGATGTGAAGAGATAATGTTGTTGCCCTACTACACAAAAAACATAACAGGTAAAAATTCATAAAGTGCATCTTAATGATGATATATACTAGCCAATCTGAGCTACTCACCAAAGACAGAAACATTGAATTTTCGGTATAGTTCCACTTTTCCATTGGTGGCAATCTGTAGTTGATAATCTCCAGAATCTGTGGTTCTGGTGTTTGTGATAGTCAGAGATCCAGTCTTACAGTCCAGCTCCAGTCTGTTTCTGAACCTCTCATCAGCACCATCGTAAGTCTTCTGACAGATCTTATTGGCTGCTCTGCTGATTTTTGCTATGACGCTGCCTCCAAACTTCCACTCTATCACATCATCTCTCTTTAGTTCAGTACGATCAGTGTTGAGAGTGACAGGCTCTCCCTCTATCACTGATTTTGGCATTGATTCTGTTTTATCAACAAACATTGGTCAAACAAAGACAGAATTCAAATAAACAACATTGTCAATAAGAAATAAAGAAAGGTCCATTTACACTATTATAGATTAATTATGTTCACACTTAAGCACAGGAAGCTGAGTATTATCTGAAGGAAACACTCACCCGGTTCCTGCGCCCCTGTAGATTGACAGCAGTTATATGACCTCAGCTTCCTGAACAAAACTAGGAATGAAGGTAAAACCACATAACCCCTCTTAAATGCATCTATTTTCCATCACTTGAGTATTTTTTACAATGAGATTCTTTTGTACTAACCTATTATTATAATAATTACACCTAAAGAAACACCTAATAAAATTTGTTGAAAAGATTTGCATTTCTGTTACTTACAGTTCCTGTTGCGCCAGTTTTTAAAGCCCGTAGCCAAACACCAAACCGCCACCATCAACAAAAGCACTATAGCGATTGACATCCAAACTACATGCGAGTGGGATTTCGTGACGGCTAAAAAAATGATCGGAAATTAGCACAGTGTTGGGAAACTACCTCACATATTGGCACAAATAAAATGAGAATCTTAGGCTAACTGCATCTCATTTAAATACATTTACACTATATAGTAAAATAATTCTAAAAAAAACATTCTAATATATAACTTAATATAAAATCAAAGTGCAGTTTAAAATTGCCTCTGATACTCACCACTAACAGTAACGTTGAATCTCCTGTATTTGGTCCCAGTGTTGTTATTAATCTGTAGTATATAAAACCCAGAGTGTTCAGGTCTGATGTTTGTGATGGTAAGAGATCCGGTCAGTTTGTCCATTTTCAGTCTATTATTAAACATCTCACTGTAACCAGCATCTGATGAGACCTCACGGGTTTCTCCATCAATTTTAGCGATGGCAGTCACATCACTTTGACACGGGACATGATGAAGTGGATTATATTTGCATCCGACTGTGGCTCGTCCAAACTTCCACAACATCAGATCATCTTTCTGTACTTTAAAATCAGTATTTAGAGTGACAGATTCTCCCTCCTTTGCAGACACAGGCTTTAATTTATCTGCATCTGGATCAAACACACCTGGAAGAGTTTCACGGATGATTATTTGCACCACAACTACACCAAATTAATTTATATAGAATGGGTCATAAAAACCGACATGAAAACAATACATTTAAAAGGGATTTTAAATACTAAATACTAGTCTAAACTTTACAAAGACAAACATATATTTATGTTTAAAAAATGATCAGAGGAACAATTAGTAACTACTTCAAAATTTTCACATTAATGTTTTAGACAACCAGTATTGTAATTAATAAAGGTACAAAAGTTCAATATACAAAACACATGTGACAACTTTCCTCAGATTTATTTGCATAATATATAGGAACCAGACCACCTCACTACAATGTGGTCTAAAAAAAACAAACAAACTGTGGGATTCTTACTATGGGAGTGGGCTGGCAGGTCACATGACAACAAAGAGAGAGAGTTTGAAGGCCAAACAGAGGGAATGAACTGCACAAACCTAGGGACCCATTTCAAGAAAGGCTGATCGTGATGGGACCTTCTTTCACGGATTAAATCTTCACTACAAGGATAGAGTTTCAATGTAATGAAAAAATCCAGGTGAGATCTATCTGTTTGCTTAAACCCAAAGCTTCCCTTCATTGTTTGCTGCTGTTATTTATGCTTTAAATGTTTTTTTGTTGTTGTTGTTATCAGTTTCTAGTCATGTTGTGATTCTCATTTTTAAAAATTCTCAGCTGTCTGGGTATGATTTTTGTCGACACATATTATGAATAAATGGTGTTTTAATCTGTGTTTTTTCACTTTCAATTTAATGCTATTTATTTGCATGTAAAACCTAACATTGACCATTTCACAACTGTAAATTAATTGTGTGTTAATGTGTTAATTCCACAACTAGTTCAGATTTCTGCTGAATATAATCATCAATGCACTACTCACCAATTACAGTCACATTGAATCTCCTGTTTGAGGAGCCGCTCGTGCTGATCATGTCCACTTTATAAAATCCGGAGTGGTTAGTTCTGATGTTCCTAATGGTCAGAGATCCAGATTCAGTGTTTAACTCCAGTCTATCTCTAAATCTCCCATCATTACCATCTTTTGTCAAGAACGTCTGGGAAGCCTTGTTGAACTGAGCTATGAGAGTGTTTTCAAACTTCCACAGTATTGTGTCATATTTTTGTATTTGATTTAGACAAGTGTGTAGAGTGACAGAATCTCCCTCCATCACTGATATCGACTTCACGCCATCTGTCTCAAAACCAAACACACCTAGAAAACAAATACACAATTAATTTATAACATATAACTCCTATTGCACATAGATTATAATCACTGAATTGTCTCGAACTAAATGTCATATACTCAAATAAGCCTATGTAAAACTAACTTAAACATACATAGTAAATAAACAATAAATAAAACAGTACAGAATCCAAATTTGACCAAAAAGGCTACGTAAATAAGTAACACAGTTATAAACCATTGTATTTGTTGTAGCTAGGTAAAGAAGATACAGAAAATAGTATTTTTTTATGTTAATAAAGTAGGCAAATAAAAGTGTGTTTGCACACACAACAAATATTCGCTCAATAAAGGCCCTGTTTAATGGTTTATGCAAATACAGCGACAATGCAAAAACCCCACATCAACGACGTCACGACGCTGAAACGTAAACATACGCAAACTACGTACACAAAGCACATGCGGTAGATCTGGAAAATATATCTATTGTGTCGATGCATTTATGGAATACTCCCTCCAAAAACAAAGCATTTTAAGGTGTATACACGACTTACTACCGCTATAAAATAGTTCCAAACATATTTTAAATGTCAACAAATGCACCCCACTTCCTGTTTCCATTGCATGAAACGAAAGTGACCAAAAATGAACAGAATTCCACGACTTACCGTCAGCGAAAAATAAGAATAAAACGAGGACAACTAGATTTTTCATATTTCTGAACATCTTAGTAAAATATGAGTTTACTACAGCGATTATTTAAATAAATCTGATAAGACTGGCCGTTTGATTATGGGTGGTTTCCTAGCCACTGCCAAACTGACAGAGAATTACAAGCTAAAACCCCAACTGAAGACCGATACCGAAATTCATAAATGATTTTTTCATAACGATGTCTGTGCTGAAAGAAAAACCAGTGCGTTTGCTTTTTGATGGGGAAAACGCTGAAAAACACCTGCTGTAGGCAGCAGCATGTTCTGTTATAGGTTAGTTTACAGCGCCTTCTAGCGACTGGCTCTATTAAATCTGGTAAAGGTGGTTTTAGATCTAGGCTACCTTCACCAGTCGTCTTCTAAGAGTTATTCAGTCATGTGTGAATACAACAACAGGAACCGGACCATCGACCACCTAAGTACCACTTCCTCTTGTACCTACCTTTGACCAACAGATGTTTCCATTGTTTGTTCAGAAAATGACAGTTTTTTTTTTTTTTTTTTCAAATTTATGTTCTGAGACTTTTAAACTTTTAGAAAACATTAAACTAGATCATGTTAATGAATTAACTTTTTTTTTTCAATATCTGACACCACTGAAATCATGTTAATTGGATGCTATAAAAATTCCAGAGAAAAATTGTGATTAATGTTGCCGCATACATGTTCCTTCTTTATTATTCCAGATATTTCCCAATATACAAAAAGGCATCAAGATTTTCAATTACAACCTAGCAGCCTAACAACATAAAAAGGTAATTCAATTAATTATTACAATAAGTGCAATAACTTTGGAATTCATATTACTTATGAATCGCAATGATTTAAAAAAAAGCTTGAATTTCACAATAATAATCATTAAAAAAAGAAATATGTGGGCCTACATAACAGGAGGCATTCAACACCCAAATCACCGTTCACAAGAGGAAAGTGAACAACAGTTTATCATAATCTGTCCCCATGTAAACACAGTATCAGAGTAACAGTAAAATGTAGATCTTAAAAACATAAAAAAAAAAAAAGAGGCACAAAGTTTCCATAACACTATGGAGAAAAATGCATTTGCAGATTTTAACCACAAAACAGGCTCATCCCTTAAGTTGTTTGCACATGAAGAAAACATCTATCACACAATCTCCTTTAAAGCATGAATCAATCACTAAGGAAAATTGTATTATTTTTTTTTAAATGACACCTGCAGATGTCAGGTGATCTAAAGAATTTGCACCTAAAACTTTTAAAGCTGCAGTCAGCGGTCCCACCATGCAGCCACCATGATTATATATATGTATCAATAACAGGTACAATATCTTATAATTATACGCAAAAAAAGAAGTTTACCATAAAGTAATAGGATCATTGATCAGCATGTAGTGCAAACTGTTCCAACGAATGTACAACATATGTAAGCATATTCTCCATTCTCTATCACAACTGGGCAGCACACAGGTTGATTTCATCCACAGCTTATGTTACAGAAGCACTGAACTATTGCTGTCCTTTCAATGGATCCTGTACCCCATTTCCTTTATCTTCACCTGAAAGTAAGCACAGAAAGAGTAATAAAAGACAGTATAAAGTGTATTGGCACAAGTGAAGGTAAACCTTCTGGCTAAAATGTGAAATTGAACCCAGATCTCAAAATCATTGAAGTATTCTTCTGCTGTCATTTAGTGAAATACTATAAATATTGTCTGAACAATCACTGATGTCATTAAACAATGCAGCAAATCATTAAGTTCAACATAACATTTCAAAATTCTGCATTAAAAATGCTTACTTTGGTTAATACTGGCCATGCATGCAAAGTTAATACTGGCCTTGTCGACTTCGTTTCCGACAGCAAATCCCAACCACCACCAAGATCAGTGCAATAACACACACGCATATCAGCACTATAATGCCTATGGACAACCCAGATTCTGTAATGGACAAAGAGAGACAGTCAGTTTTAAAATAAATCCAGTGACAAGCATCTTGCGTTTATATGAATCTTCAATCAGTTACACAGTTCAGGGTTTCTCCATGCAAGTTATTACTTACAAACATTAAAATGACTAGCACAAACAACACTTTGAGAACGTTGATCTACTCACCATCGACCGTAAGACGAAACTTCCTGTGTTTGGTCGGTATGTTTGTACCTTGCACCTGTAGCTTATAAAGTCCAGAGTCTGTGGTTCTGGTGTTTGTGATGGTCAGAGATCCGGTCTGATCCAGCTGCAGTCTGTCTCTGAATCTCTCATCAGTTTCATTATATGAGGGGTTTTTACTGTTTTGTTTGTTGATTTGAGCTATGGGAGTCTCTCCGTCTTCGAACTTCCATTCTATCACATCATAAATGTGTATATCAGCAATATTATGCTGTAAAATGGCAGACTCTCCCGCCGTTACTGAAACTTTTGTAGGAATCGCATCTGAAATACATGTAGAATAATGCACATAAATAACTGATGTTAATGATTGTGTTCTGACAATAATTCTAATATATATATATATATATATATATATAATATAAAAAACACATATTCAAAAAATACTCAACAAATAAAATATTATTTACAAACGAATAATACATCGACATATTTATTTCAACATTGGCATTAAATATCTGTAATATGACAAAGCACAAATATAGACAATATTTCCTATATATATATATATACACACACACACACACACATACGTATATATATATATATGTGTTAAATTAAAAGAAACATTCTGTATGACCCAAACACTGCAATTCATTTAGAAAAATTAAGTATTAAAATATGTTCCTCTTTGTCATAAAAGAGTGCTTACCAAGGACAGTAACACTAAATCTCCTGTATGTTGTGTGAGTGATATTGGTGATGTTCACTTCATAAAACCCAGAGTGTGTGGTTCTGGTGTTTCTGATGGTGAGGTCGCCAGTTTGATCGTTTATTTGTAGTTTGTCTTTGAATCTTGCATCATCAGTGTCATATAATAAGGGATTATTGGCCTTGATTGTAGCTATGACATCAGATCCAAACTTCCACACTATCTTATCATCTTTCTGTAGTTTGGTAATACACTTGGTGTCTAGAACGACAGGATCTCCTTCCATCAATTCACGTATCTCCACTGGATCTGTCTCAACACCAAACACACCTGGAGAACAACCAGAAACAAAGAAAACACCTGTATAACAATAATATTCTTCAGCTGAGATCATAAGCGTCACACCATCTGCAACAGTTTACAAGTATTTTTCTACGCAGAACTCTAAATAAGCCCCACATTTAGAAGAAAAAATCTAGTATATTACTAAATATACACTGATAGCTCTAAAAAATAAATATGAATGTAAATATAAACATGCACAAAAATATAGAATACACAACACGTTAAATATGTTTAAACAAAACATTGTCATTTAATGTACATCCACATGCATCTGTAGCCTACCTTAAATATAAAAAAAGAGAAAAATAAGCCATTTAATATTTTAAATATTTTGCATATATGCACAAATATACATTCTGTATCAGTGAAAATCATATTATGTGTTATTTTACTTCAATTGCGTGTTATATGGGAAATAAATTATGGTCAGACTACTGTTTTTATAGTAATATAATACGCTATATTTACAAAGCATTTCAGAAATCTGGTAAGGCATGTGCAAGGCAGGATCTAAATCCAAAAAAACAAAAACAAAAACCGTCTCATTCCAAATAAACAAGTAGTTCCATCCTTGAGTTTGAAATGAAATCTCGCGAGAGGGCGGACGAGCAGAATGCGGAAACTGGTGTGCGATTGTCTGGCTGCGATATTAAAATTGAAACTGGATGATACAGTAGCGCTTTATAACATATAGAGACGACGATCTTGTTCTTCCGTTTAATTAAATATTAAGATATTTACGTTATTTGTTGGTTTTGTTGAGCCATTTAGGCGGATTAAAACAGCTGTAATGGATTTATTTTTTAAATAAAAAAATGTTGATAGAGATCTATACGCGTTTAGAAACTATCGAGGACCGAAGCGGTGGATAATTTATTATAACGACATACATTGTGACGGGCAGTCAACAAATTAAGGGTAAGGCAAATATTTTTTTCTATACAAAGAAGCTGTTTAGTGTTTTGTATGTGTGCTACACACCACGGAGGAAATTCCTCGTATAATGCCATACGTTTAGATAGAGATCTGTCACCGGACAAAAACGGTGGATGGTGAATTCACTGAGAAACTTTTGGTAAAGAATCAAACTGCCGGTAGTATTTGAACCATACGCTATATATTACCTTGACAAAATCAACATTGTACACTTATGTCAAACCATTTCTCAGACAGAGACGTTATTTTTCTCGATACGCTGACATTCTTGCTCCTAGAGCGGACTTGACGCCCTTTGGGCGGTAAATATTGTTTTCGATACAGGTGAAGACAGGACCGTGTTCCACCAGGGGGCGATTTACGGCTCAGTATAACGATTTCTATTGAGCAACACACACATCTCTGGAGGGTTTGGGCCTCATTTAAGACATTTGAACATCCAAACGTATGATTATTTAAATCTACTAGCTACAAGAATAAAGCTCTAATAAAGACCCTGCACATGCGTCTATAAAATTATTCTTTAACATCTTCTTATCAGCTCTTCCATATCAGCGCTGAGAAAAGTAACAGGTGCCAGTTGACAATGCCGTCTAAAAGCCCTGAGAAGCGGTCTGGACAATAACTTACATGAATAATCACACTGAGAAGCTTAAACAGCAACTGAATTGACAAATGTAAGACTTATGAAATAGATAGGTCTACAATGTAGAGATAAAATTCTGTAAGCTATTGGTAAGTGGCACATAATGGAAAGTACCAACAAACAACACAAACGGACTATAATAAAAAGCTGAACAATGAGTTCATGAACCATGTTCGCATGACATTTCAATTGTAAATTTTGTAAAAAAAAAAATGTACATGCATGTGTTTTTCATGTTTATAGGTGATTTCAAGTGTCTTGCTGTGTGATATGCTGTACTAAAAAATATTTAAAAATGTAACATTTGTTCTTGTTCTTACATTACATTTAGTCATAGTGAATTTAAATTGAAAAACGAATTATTTAATGTATCCTCCAGACTGCACATGCAATACTTATACTATATATATATATATATATAATTAAAGTAAATAATTAATAGTCTAATAAAGTACAAAAAAAAAAAAAAAAAAACGTTTAATAGTAGTAATACAGATTTTAAAGCCATGTCAGCTTCTTTATGGCAAAAACAAAGTTGAAAACTGTTGTTTAAATTAGGCTACCTACTTTTTTTTAATGGAGTTTATTTAGCATGTCACAGTACAGGACATTTTGAAGCAGTTTTTCCAATAGTCAGACCAATACTTGGGTTTGTAATTTAATGCCCTGCTATCTATTTTCAAGAAGACAAACAGATTTAGTAACATTTTGTGTGTATTGATGCTAAATAGGGGTGAATAAATGACAAGATTAGGTTTTGGGGATCTATCCCTTTAAGTGTTTAGCTGTTTCCACACAAAAGCAGGTTGTTCAGCGTGCTGAGGCCTCTCCTCCACTGACTTTCATTCAAACAGAATGGCCTCTTGTCTTCGGTTACGTCTTTTTATGCTAACTTCCAATGCTCCCACTGGGGGAAGGGCTCTTGAAAAACACTCATAACTGCCAAGCTTCAAAATCCCTTTCTTCCTTCCTGATAGGATCCTGATTAACAACAAAGATTGGCCACTTAGAAATTAAACTTTTACATCATAGAAAATCCTAACCACATTGTTGAAAATAGACCACAATTACAATTATATTAATTGATGATAAAACTGTAAGAGGAAACTTAATAGATTTTGCATTGAGGACAGCAACTACACCATTTATCTCAATTCTTCACATCTAAAATTGTAGTAGTATTCCTGGTTAAAACATTGTTAAAGGGAAAGTTCACCTAAAATTTAAAATCTTTTTCTTTCTCACTCCTATGTCATTTAAAAACCTGTATGACATACGTTCATATTTAAAACTGTGTTTTATTCCTTTAAAATGCAAGTCAATAAGACCCAAAACAGCACAAATCTAGATGAAGGTTATTTAACAACATTTTTTTTTTTTTAGCTCAGCTGGCAGCATATGGCACTAGAATGTCAAGGTCATGGGTTCGACTCCCAGGGAACAAAAATATAAGCACAGCAATATGGCCCTAGACATGCAACAACTTGCAGTTGAGCTACAATACCTTTACATTTGCTCGAAGATTATCTTTCACAGTTTTTGTTGTATAAACAGTCTGTGATATTTTGATCTTGATGGTAAGGATAGTTGGTCAAAACATAAATCATCTACACAATAACTGCACTACCATACTAAATTGTTCTACATAAGAATAAGTTCTTTAAAAAGAAAATTGTTCAATTCAGGTACTCAAATGATTTTGTGATTAATTTGATAAACCACGCATAGATGATGCATTATTCATTTGGCGAATGCTTTTATCTAAACTGACTGGTGTTGCATTCAATGTATACATTTGATCATCTCATGCATTCTCTGGGAATCGAACCAATGACCATGGCGTTGTTTTAATAAACAAAAATTGGAGCTTTAAATCAGCACATTTATTTTTAGAAACACACATTTGATAGTATATCATAGATTGATAAAAGAGAAGTGCAGGCCTAAGAAAACATTGCAATCTTTTTCCAGTATCCACTAAGGAAGAAAACCACAGCAAAACATCACAAACTTCAAACTCACCACTCATTCCATTACAAACCAACAAAAGCTTTGAAAATTCCTTTGCAAAAGCATTCAGCAAGCTATAGCCTACTTCCCCTTTTTAACCAAAGCAAGGTATTTATAAAGTGCTGTGGATAAAATCAACCACAGCAAAGTGGAAATGATTAATATTTCTTCAATGCCCCCATTATTAATAACGCATCAAGGCGAAACGCGATGTTGCGTTGTGAAATGCTACTTAGCCTAATTCATAACCCCAAATCAACACAGAGTCAGTGTAGCGTGAATTAGCGCACCGTTTTCTATTCCATGTTAACTAAGATCATTTCAGATAAACAGTTTAAAAATAGTATAACTTGATTAGAAAAATTAATATGTGAACACACCTGAACAAAAAACACATCCGGTTTGATGCATAGATAACCTAATTTTCCTCTTTCGCCCCCTTGTGTATTGAGGTTGTCAGACCTTTGCACGAGCTCACTCGCATACCCTCGCAACAAATCGCATACTAGTTGTCATAGTGATTTATGATATCCTACTGGATGTTCACTGGTAGTACATTAATGTAAAGGCATTTGTGCGCGTTCGATTAAAAAAAAAATCTGTGAAAATCATCAGCACGGCATATGCTAATAATATAGGCTAACTTAGGCTATGTATTTAACCCGAAATATTCTTAACATAGACAATTATATTACATTTATAAATAATAATAATTTTTTAGTTATTGAATGAAAGTTTATTGACATTTTGCTTAGTATTAGTCCGCTATACATCACATAGAATTAGAATGAACAAGGCTAACGTTTGCTATATATTATCTTTTCATACAGATGCTTCAGCTTTAAATCTAGCTGTCCTATAGTACGACATAACAAAAATTCATGAAAAACTGGTTTGTGCAGCTAAACACGACGAACTGTACTGTACAATGAACTTGCGTAATATAGCCTACACGCAACATAAATAACGCACTACCATCATATGTAGTCCAATCATCGCGTTTATAATCTGTTTACAATTTATGATAGATACATTTGAGAAAACAAAGCAGGCAGGAATGGTAGGCTACATCATTGGCTACAACATGGCATAAAGCAAAAACAACTGATCTTTTAAAACAGCCATGACAGTCGTACAAAAAAAAAAGATTGCATCAACAAAATTAATTAGACCCCAAATCTTTAAATATTTGCAATACAGACGAAACTCGAATAAAGATTTGTGACGAATAAGCATACGGCCTATTGGCATCTCGGAATCCTGATTATTAAACAAAAATCGCACAGATTGCACGAATGGACACTGGAGAGACAATAATTAAATTGACCTAAGTAGCATAGGCTACCACACACAGTTCTCAAAGCCCCGACGTGAATTGGACATCAATCTCCAAAAGGCTGGTATTACCGCCGCAAGGCCTGAACTTGAAACCCAGTGGCGTCCGAGGATTTGTAAAGGTAAATAGCGCAGAATTCAGAACACACCCCATTTTTATTCTCTGCCTTGTATCCAAATAAAAAACAATCGCTATGAGCATGTTAAAAACCACAAGCAGTATGAAAATACGCGTATAAAAGCAAATACGCATTATTTCCGGTCCTATTAATTAAAACCGAAAGTGTTATAGCTACAAAAATAAAATTACTACTTACCGTTCACGAATAATAAGACAAGCAACATCAAATTCGCGATGCCCATACTGATTGTAGAGTTGTGAAATTTCTGGAGCTTAAAAAAGATGAAGATCGTAGCTAGAAATATCCATATAAATCTGTCGTGTTGTCGTTTCTCAGCCGCACCCAGCCAGATTGATAGCGATCATTACTAAAAAAACGGCTAAATAATGACTGAGACCATTTTGAATTTACTAAGATTAAATTCTAGTATTCTTTAAGATTTGAACGACGTGGAAAATGGTTTACGTTCCCTTAATGTTACAAATACAAGGGAGCGCACAACTAGCTCGAAATGGCTGATTCTTCCGTCTGGCAGGTAACGTGACGCGGGACGACACAGACTCATAACGCCACCTACCGTACAAAAAACATACACGCAAAACATACCAAATCGCCCCCAAAATACTTCTACACCTGTTCTGTCTGGACATGAGCGAACATAATTCTCAGTTGACTGTGAGAAATAATGTGAGAAAGCCTCAAGTTTTAATTGTAAACTCATAAGAAATCTATGCCATTTAGAATAAAAAAAGAGTATTGCTATTACTACTCCAGTTGTGCGCATACTCCTCAAACCAAACACTTTTTTAGCACTTGACTAGGATAGTATCTTCTAGTATTATTTAACACTGTTTGACCCTATAGATCAAGACATTTCTGAGCATACTTAAGAATCATATTGGCATTTGTGGACAGGTGGTTGCCTGCTTAAAATATTACCTGTCAGATAACTACCATGTTATTTTTTTGTAAATGAAGAGATGCCAAAAGTGACACAGGTAAAATGTGGTGTGCCACAGGGCTCAGTCTTAGGTCCTTTGTAGTTCTCCATTTACATGTTTCCTTCAACTGATATTTTTGGGATATTATTACATGGGTGAAATCCAGCTTTACACTTACACCTTCAAAACTGGTTTATTGCATTAAATTACTACATTTTGACTAAATTTTGATTAATTTACATCTAGTAAATAAAAGTAAATGTTAACTAAGCAGTGTTTGGTCTGACTGGACCTAATGTCCATATAAGTGCTTTCATACAGATATATTGCTATTCTATGAACTGTTCTCTCTCTGTTAATGAATAGAAAAGACAGTGTATGTATTCATAACATAAAGAATAGATTATTGTAATAAACTTGTCTGGTTGTCCCACTTTCCCAATAAAAAGAAATGCAGCCTGTTCTAAATTCTGCAACCAGAGTTTTGATCATTTCAGTCAATCAGTTATCATCTTCTCTACTATGGCTACCAAATTACATGTATATTACAAGTAAAACATTTAAACTATTAAATTCACCCGTTAACTCTACAAATGTATTAGTTGCAGGGAGATCCTAACTGCTTTTTCTGTCTCTCCTGTAGCCATGATCATCAAAGTTCCAGCAGCAGTTGACATGAGATGAGTGGAGACTGGACACGGAGAAACAAAGGCATTCATTAGTGTACGTGAATGTCTCAGCTTGGTCTATAAGAAACACTATGAAAACTCCACAAATCTACTTGTAATTGCCTAATATAAATAAATCATGTGAGGGAATCACTTATTTAGAATGATGTGTTTTGCAAGTGAATACTCCTGTTAAAAATGTAACCAAAATTGCAGTGACCTTGATTGACATTTTACACACAAATGCTTTCAGTTTAAATCATATAGAGTAAGTAAAGGAAAAACATATTCCAGAGACTTAATAAATATGTTAGTGAGGAATTTCACTCAAATGTAGAACAGAATATTTGTAGATCCAAACTAAATGCTTATGTGTTTTGTCTCTGCTAATGTTATTTGTGACCATGTGTTGAAAGATTCTTTTGATTCTTTTATTTTGAGTTTATATTTGGTCACTGATGTAGTAGTGCTTTCTATTGTGGTGTTAAAGGAAAATAAAATTAATTTGATAAATCCTGCACTTTTCCTGTTTGAAGTCTTTTTAATCTATAGTATGTTTCTGTCTTGTAACAGATGACACATAATTCAGTTTTTTATTGAACTGCCATCTGTTCATATAAAACATTTTCTGATGTAACTGAAATGGTTGCATGGAAGAAATTGAACTTTTACAAAATAATTTTGTAAGTGAATTATCAAAAACTTTTGATTACAGTTTTTTTTTTGGGTGCAAGTATTGGAACTGCTGGCATATATCTAATAAAGGGGGAAAATTGTGATTTAAGCATACCTAACTAAAAACTTGAGTTTGCAATTTAGGTCGAGCAAGACTGAAATATAACGGGTAAATAAATTTATCATACATTCTGAAGACATTTTTTATTTTGAATGAATTCGCTGGATATTACAGTTAAACTGAAAAAACAAATCAAGTTTGTTTTATTTATATAGCACTTTTTATATTAAGTGCTGTCAGTCAATGTCAGTCAAACATGTTTTTCATACAATATAAAGTATTTCTCATGACACAATTTTTTTAAATATATTTTAAAATGTTATTATGAACCAATAAAAACAATTTCTTCTTGGTATAAAAACTTTACATTAAAAAGTGGAAAAAAACAGACATATATACATTACAACAAAAAGTACCTAATATAACCACCAGATGGCAATATGACAAGTTAGGAAACACTTAAAAAGTGTACATTACAGCATTGGTTTTCATGTTTTGATTACTGTGGATTTTTATAATTCTGTATGTATGATTGACAGCATGCAAGCTGTCAAATGATTCTGAGATGCATTTAACCTGGAATATTCCTTATTTATATTCCTAAAAAGAATAAAGAACAGAGCAACATTATCGCCCCCTAGTGACCTGCTGCAACATCATCATATTCATCTGCATGCGGTGTCTGCTCTCTCCTCTTCTGATAAGATCTTCTTGATCTAATGTCATAAACCAGCACAGCAACAGTAGCCAGACCCACCAGAACAGAGCCAGCCAATCGGATCACAGTTTCAGTAAAACCACAACAGTGGACGCGGCCTGAGGAAAGACAAAAACACCACTAAAAAAAATTAAAGTTCGTGTACATTTCTAACATCACAGTTTATGTACCTGGACATGGCTGACAGAGCTGATCGATGTTCAGATGTTGAGTCTGGTTAGTGATGGGATTGTTGAGCACACAGCTGTAGGTGTTTTTCTCCTGATATTCCACCTCTAGAGGTAGAGAGAGACTGATGCGGAGATCAGACTCACTGATGCTAGACAATAAACTGTTTCCTCTGTACCAGGAGAGAGTCACATGACTCACATTCACCACTGAACATAAAAATGAACAATTCTGGTGTGAAGCTGATGAAGAACATGTTGGAGAGTCTCTGGTGATGACAGGAATCGGCAGAGGAACTGGAGAACATAAGAGAACACAGAGAAGCTATATGAACAATATAGTTTACAATGAATCTATTTAGATGTTCACAGACTGTCTTTTTTACGTGGTCTAAATTTGTGATGTGGAGATTCAAACTGATAAGTGTGACCGCCAGTGTGCAGTTTACCATTGATTGCCATCTCACCTACTCAAATCACGCAATGCTAACAAATCTTATACGCTAGAATTAGATATAAAATATGGAAAAATGCAAAATAATTTGAAAAATGTCTACATTGCATACTTAATAATCTCTAATATCAACATTGACGTGCCTGGACATGGCCAACAAAGTTCACTAATGTCCAGATGTGTGGTCTGGTTGCTGATGGGGTTGTTCAACACACAACTATAGTTGTTTTTATCCTGATTTTCCACCTCCAGAGGTAGAGAGAGACTGATGCTGAGATCCGACTCAATGATGCTGGACAATAAACTGTTTCCTTTGTACCAGGAGAGAGTCACATGACCCACATTCACCACTGAACACACCAATGAACAATATGATGATGATGATGAAGAAGAACATTGTGAAGAGTCTCTGGTGATGACAGGAATGGGAAGACGAGCTGGAAAATGATATGAAATGACCAATTAGAATAAGTTTACTGAAAAAAAAAAGTTTTATATTAGAGTATTGAGAATTATTTAGTAAACACAATATTAAAGAACGAACAACACTGCTTCTTTACTCACCATAGACAGAAACTGTGAATGTTTTGTATGAGACTGTATTACTTATGATCTCTAGTTTATAGAGTCCAGCATGTTCAGGTCTGATGTTTTTAACGGTCAGCGATCCAGTGTCATAGTTCAGCACCAGTCTGTCTCTGAATCTCCCATCAGCGCCATCATAAACGTTGAAGACTCCAGCCTCCTTTTTGACTTGAGCAATGAGAACCTCTCGAGGTCCAAACATCCAAAGCAGATCTTCACCTCTCCGTATCTCAGTTTGTAGAGTGACAGAATCGCCCTCTGTTGCTGTTTTAATTTCACCGGGCTCAACACCAAACACACCTGGAGAACAATGGAACAGGAACTGCCACTCAATCACATATTATTTGGTCCAAAGTGTTTATTACCTGGTACAAGGTAGATCATCATGGACCAGAAACAAAACAGCTAAGATGCTTTTGTAAAATGGTAGCTGGTCAACTAACTAATGACCCCCCAAAAGGCAAAAGGGAGTAATTCTTGATTTTATATTGGACTGGTTTATCTCTAATATAACGAGCTGATGCCATAAAACATGCATAACTTACCAATCCGGCCTTCAAAATGCAAGCAGAACCAAACAAATGCATAAAAGATTTTCTTTGACTGAGCCATCACTTAACGTTTCTGGGAGGAAAAAACAAATCCCTTAAGTAAAAACGAATTTCCTAAAACTTTGCTGAGGAGCGTTCCCGTGCGGTTATGAAGATATTTAACCAATTATAGCCTATTTTAAAAACGAACGGGAATTTGTAGCTTCGTGGTCTGTAAAGAAATAACACACGACGCAACTTTCAGTCAGATGATCTGAACTTCTCCGCGCGCCGCCAGAGTGTGCACGCGCGTCTGTGAACGCGCTTGATTGTCAGCGAACGCCTTTGTGTCTTTCAGTTATGTTATGCACCGGGTTTAATTTATATATGAATGTAATTAATTTTATTTTATGACTGAACACAAACTATTTTCATTCAACTTAATATATAATTAATTAATTTATTATATAACCTGTTTTTATTATTTAATATTAACCAAGACAGGACATCTCAGTTTTAAAAGTACGATAGGTTCTGGCTTAAAAAGTAATTTCAAGGCATCATAGATATCAAGGCTTACCATGAAGCCATGGTTTCGGTTTTCTTGAGAATAAGGATTCCACCGATTTTTTTTTCTTCTCTTCACATTCTTCACGTTCAGTTTAGAGTCAAAACGAAACCTGACGTGGCCTGATTCCTTTAGGTCTGGAAAGAAATGTGGTTTTGGTCTGATAGATGGACAAACGTCTTGTGGTGAGATTCTTATGCATGTCGGTGAGGGGCTTCTTCCTGTCCTGCTAACTTGAACCTCACTGACTGTTTTCCTTTTTACATAAATATGTGTTAAACGGGTCAAAGACAAATCAGGATGCCCAAGATGTTTATACAATCTTGTATAATGATTAATGAATTTAGATGTGTAAAATGGGATTAGATGTGTAAAATGTGTAATGAGGAAAGAGCAAAGATTCAACATGTATGACAAACAGAATTTAACATAATTCAGTAAAAGCTAAAGAAATGTTTGAATTTGTCCCAGACTCTGGCAGACAATAACAAGATATGTTGTTATACAAAAAAAAAAAAAAAAAAACAGGAAGCGGGTTCTAGGGGTGATTTCAAAAATAGTTTTGAAAAAAAACAAACAAAAAAAACAAACAAACATGAATTTCAAGTTTCTTGGGGTTGTACAAGTTGGCATGTGAATCTAAACTATTCTTGTCATGTTGTAGGAATGTTGAATTATTTATTAAAATTATTTTATTTGAGACTTATTGACCTTTACACATAGTCATGAGGGCCTACGGGGTCCTATCTGTGAAGTCATTTCCTGTTATGGTTTTCTTGTCACATCACAAAAAAAAAAAAAGCTTTCTACAAGTTGTTTATACCACAATATCTTTGATTTAGTGGATAAATATTACTTTTATACAATGTATAAATAATAAAACACAAAGAAACAACCAAACGCTTTCTACAAGTTGTTTATACCACAATATCTTTGATTTAGTGGATAAATATTAATTTTATACAATGTATAAATAATAAAACACAAAGAAACAACCAAACAGATTTATAGATGTTACATTTATAGTGTTCTCTATAGACCGCAAAATATTGCATGCTAGAAAAGCACCCGTCAGAACTGTATAACATGCTGTTTTAGAGTTGCATGATGGGACCAAGAGTCATGGGTTTACAGCTTGTCCCACCAGCATGTTTCCAGCAAGAAATCTGTGTTTGCCTAGTTAGCTATAGCCATAACTGCACAGTTAGGATGCATAACACATCCTTCTTTATTGAGTTTTTTCTTTATTAGTGGACCATGCTTCCAGTAATGTGAGGATGTTGTCTGCTATTCAGTATTGTGCTGTTAACGCTGTGTAGTAGAACGGACGAGCAGTTCTGATGGCTCTCATTATTCAATGACATTACTGGAGCTCCACCTAGTGGCTGTAAATAGTAAAAGAAAAGAATCTATCTGAACACTGAACACACTGACCTCATCTGACGAACGGCCAAACCGCATAGAAAAAGTGAAAACTGGCAAACCTGTCCAGTAGTGTAGCCTACCATATTTCATTAGGATTGAGTGGTCTTAACATGCCAATAGAAGGCAACAAATTACCAGTAGAGACCCATAAAATCAATGCAATTACCATTATAATCAAGAAAAACAATTAGATTTTATTTATTTATTTATTTTTTTGTTAAATGTCCAATTCACGGAAACATTAACCCCAATCTCCTAGCACACTGCCATTGAGTATGCTGCAGTTCTGCTGTCTGCTATAACAAATGGCATTGCTGGAGCTCCGCCTAGTGGCTGTAAGTAGGCAGAGATAATAGGTAGGCTACACTAGTATACGGTTCAGAATTCTGCATAAGTTTTCTTCATTCCTATTAATCAGATCTGTTTCCTTTAAAATAAATTAAACTGCGTTGGACTGCTAGGAGGATTTGAAGTGGCACTTAAGTGTCTTTAATTCTGGTTCACAAACTCCTTCACAAACAATTTGTCAACCCTTCAGACTAAACCATATTGCTATACAGATAAGTGTCATCAGGGTTCACTTCTGCTAGTGTATTAGGCTACGTGAATTCAGTGAATCACTTATACAACTACTACATAATGAATTATATGTCTAATGATGTTATAAGAGTGGACAGTAGAACAGACAAAAACTTGAAAAACCGAATCTTCATTAAAATATACACTAATTTCCTCTGTGAGAGTCATTTCAAGGGTGCAACAGAAACGAGAGCTTATTAGATCATTTTATAAATGAATCAAAATCATATTCTGTGCAGATACAATCAATAAATGGCCAATGAATTAAACATAATCTGTTAAAAATAGCTGTAAAGGCATAGAAAATTAGTGATGCATGATTCATTTTTTGGATTATACCAGTAACCTTCAGCAAACATATCTTGAACTAAACCTTCTGCTCAGTTCATTCTGTTGGTCTGATTTTGCTCCATGGGTCTGAGAAAGATATTGAGTCTCTTCTGTCCTGTTCAGCTCACTTCTTGTACAGCAACAGCAGCCACGCCCACCAGAGCAGAGAGAGCCAATCGGATTACAGTTTCAGTAAACCCACAACAGTGGATGCAGTCTGAAATGAAAAAAAAAAGAAGCACTGCATCAGAATTGTGCATTTATTTCTCTTTCAAATAGACTTACTGCATCCACTTCAAAGGACTTTGAGCATCCACAAACTTTGCATATGTGACCCTGGACCACAAAACCAGTCTTAAGCCGCTGGGGTATATTTGTAGCAAAAGCCAAAAATACATTGTATGGGTCAAAATTATCGATTTTTTTATGCCAAAAATCATTAGGATATTAAGTAAAGATCATGTTCCATGAAGATATTTTGTAAATTTCCTACTGTAAATATATCAAAACTTAATTTTTGATTAGTAATATGCATTGCTAAGAACTTCATTTGGACAACTTTAAAGGTGATTTTCTCAATATTTTGATTTTTTTTTGCACCCTCAGATTCCAGATTTTCATAGTTGTATCTCGGCCAAATATTGTCCTATCCACCTAACCATACACCAATGGAAAGCTTATTTATTCAGCTTTCAGATGATGTATAAATCTCAATTTAGAAAAATGACTGTGACTTATGACTGGTTTTGTTGTCCAGGGTCACATATGTGCACATATGCACACTTTCCTTGCTTAGCTAAATAACATTAGCTAGGATTGCAAAACATAAGCGATTCTAGACCGTTTTTAGGACTCCCCGAGGAATCTGTGTGATTATGTGGTTCTTTCTCCATGATGTTTTTTGTTGTTGTTGTTGCCTTGAGTGCTAATGATCTCTAGAGCAGCATGAAATACCACCCCACCAGCCCCACCAAAAAAACAAACAAACACACTACACTTCTCTGTCACTCGTCTGCTGTCTGTTCTCTGTTCCTGTTAAATGATTGAAGAAAATGCACGCAAATGCACCCAACCCTCATATGCACAAACAGGTCATGCTCTATATCTCTAAATGAAATGCTGTCAATTCTCTCCGCACCCACAAGCAGTAACATGAATCAACACCATGTTTTGCCCAAAACTGATTCAGTTTCTCCCTAAACTAAAGACCCGTTCACACCAAGAACGGTAATAACGATAACTATATTTTTGTCCATACCAACGGGTGACAATGCTATGTTTATTCTAAGCACATGCTCCAGTTTTGTCGTCTGTCGCTTTTTAATGCTTGAGCTCTTTACAGTCGGGTTTATTCTGATTGGCTGTCAATGTTTTCATCATTCATCAGCTGGAAAAAAATTGTTCTGAAAATGACAGTTACCTTAACAGTGGATTTTAGCTTCTGTACTTTCACAAAGCTAATAGCCTATTATATTGACATACCTGAACACATTCAACAGAGTTCTGTGACATACCTGAACTCGACTGATGGAGTTCAGTAATGTTGGCATCCTTAGTCTGGTTTACAGTTTAATTGATCAGCTGGACGACACACAATTTGAGCCTGACGATCTTTCTGATGAAAAATAATTTTGTGGAGATTTGTGGATGACAAACGTCTCGGGTTACTTATGTAACCATGGTTCCCTGAGTAGGGAACGAGACACTGCGTCCTCTAGGGGTCGCTAGTGTTGCTTTCGTCAAATATCTATGACTAATGACTAAATATCATCGTCAACGAACCTTTATCACGTGACGAAAACGAGACGAAACGCAACGTAAATGCTGGTCATGTGACGATGACTATAATTAAATGTATAATGCAATATTGTTGACGAATAAAAACGA